TTCACTAGCACTGTTGTCTAGCTAATTGAAGGTGGAAGATAATAGAGAAATACGTAGAATAGAGGAACATATGCTTTGCCTTTCGAATTGCTCGGCTCCATCAACTAAATACAATAATAGCCTGAGTTTTAGTCATCTGGCCTTTGCTGGTCTCTTCATGGTTTCCGTGTCATTTCTTTAGTTACTTTTCTTTTCACAGTCGCCCGTTCGATGGACAGAAGCTCGCGCTAACCTTAGCAACTGCATACGGGAAAAAATAGAACTCTCAGGAATGTTAATGAAATTTGGCTTTTCTTCCTCTAGGAGAAGAAGCTAAATTCAGAATATAGTCAATGCATGAGCGTGGAGTTAGCAGGGAATGATGACACTTCGATTTTTAAGTAACCGACGAAACCAGTATGACATTGACTATTAATGAATTGAACATTTGTAGACTACTCCGCCAAATTCTCTATTAAGTATGACAAGAATTGTTTTGTTGGGTTACTAATTTTAACATTTATTACATCTATATTAGATGTTCTGATCATAATTTAACGGGTGTTAGGATCCGGATTCAATATTAACAAAACTCGTTAAAATTGTGGTGAGACCTTTTTTTTTTTTTGAAGAATAATTTTTTGACAATAATAAATAAATTTTAGAATAATCAAACATGTATATTGAACTGAATAATTTTATATTATTGATATATATTGAAAACTAATGGGTATATATGCAGAAGAGCTATGATCTACAAGGAAAGAATAAGAATGGGAAATTCCCAAATGGGAAAATATAACCAAGCGTAATGACGATTAATTCCTCACCATTTGTGTTTTTATGGGATGGATCGAAAGCCAAAAAGCACTTACAGATGACGACGACGCAGAATAACTGTCTCGCCCTCAGAGCCTGAGAATTCACCTTGTAGCTACCATGGAAGACGCCGAAAGAGAACCAGAACCCTGCATCAGCAACGATGCCCATCCGTAGAAATGGAACCCGCGAGCTGCAACTATTCCCAAGGTTAAAGTTGTCAACGGGCCACATAATCATTGAACCATTACGATTCCACCAGATCGAACCGGATCGGATCTTGCAAATTTCAAAGATCTAATTCCTCCAGATCTATTACTGGCAAATTGGGTAAGATACGATCTAGCTCCGGATCCGCTGTGATAGGCGGTTTTTGCAGTTATTTGGTAAAAGTGATTTTGAATTTTTAATATATATATTTATTTTAAAATTATTTGAAAGTTTATTTTTAAATTTGTATTTTTATATAAATAATAAAATAGTAAATTCTTTTATTAAATAATAAATAGTAAAATTAAAAAATAAATTTTAGAAGTATGACAAGGGTAATGCTTATGATTGATATTATTATAATTAAGTAGAGATTATATTTAAATATTTTTTAAGTTTTTCTTAAATTCAAAATTACATATAGAATTTTTTGAATTTTTCAAAATTTTCTTCTAAAATGAATTATGAAAATTATATTTTAAATACTTATTTTACTATTTTTAAACAATTTAAAACTTATTTTAAAAATATAGAAAATTTTAATTATGATTCACTTTTATTTTAAACTCTAATTTTATAAAGTATTTGTAAACACCCCTTTTAGTGGGTAAACTTGTTGCACGATATCTTTGATGGGACTGGAGTGTGACTTGCATTAGAGCATCCAATTGAATTATAAACATGTAAGATTTAGATTAAATCAATAAATTTGAATTTAAATCTAATTATTAATTTTTATATTTAAATTTGATTGAGAGTTTTTTATAAAATTGGTGTATATAAAATTATATCTGAATCTGATAGATAATTTAAAATTTAATAAAAATTTACTTTAACAAGAAAATAATACTTTTTTATACTAAATTCATCAACTCTATTCTATAAATTATTTTGATATCTAAATTTATTAAATTTTTCAATTTAGTCTCTAAAATTAAATTCATTAATATATATATATAGACTTATTAAATTAATTTAAAAAATATTATTAAAATTTATATCAGATTATTTTATTCTGTATTTAATTTACTTACTTTAAATTATAAATATTTAAATCTGATTCATTAAATATTTTAATTGAATTCAAATTAAAATTTAACACATTCACTCACGTCTCTAACCTTCACATATATTTTTATTTAAATAATTTAACTATGAGTGCACTCTTAACCATGATCCCTTATTTTTACAATGTGTGCATTGCGTACTTGTGTAGGGGTGAAAATGAGTTGAGCCAGCTCATAAACGGCTCATGCTTCGGTTTGACAAATTAGTTCAATAAGTAAAATTCTAAAATCAAATGAGCGATTATAAACTAAACTTTTTAAACTCTTATAAAATACGAGCCGAGCTTGAGTTAAAACAAGTTCGATTCATTTGATTTATGAGTTATTTTGATATATATATATTATATAATTTGAAATTCTAGGTATTCATAATTGATTGTGATGAATGGATTGCTCTTTATTTTTATTTTTAAATTAATTACGTTTCTTAAATTTAAAAAACAAACATTATTTTTGATTTTTTATAATGTTGGATATAAACATCAATTGCCTTAATCATTTTTTTTAATATTCTGATAAAGATATGTAGCGATAAAATTGAAATCATTCATTGTTAAATAACCAATTTGAAAAAGATAAATTATTGCTTTAATAAGATTTTTATTTTTCTTACAAGAGTAATATAGCGTAAAAATGTCATTAAAAAAATAGAATATAAAAACAGTTTAGTTAAAAATTGTAATTATGATATAATATTTTTTTATGTGTCAAAGTTAATTTGAAACTTTTTATTAAATAAAATTTTTTATTTTGATATTAATTCAAATTATAGATAAAAATTTATTTTTGTTGATATTATATATAAATTATTAATTATTAAAATATTTTTGACATATATGAGTTAATTAGTTGAGTTTAGTCGCAGGTGAATTTAGTACAAACTGAACTTGAAATAAGAAAATAAGTTTACTTAAAAAATCAGTTAAGTTGTGACCTAACCTAAATTTAAATAAGCTCAGTTCGAGCTAAAGGTAACTTAACACACTCAATTCAACTCAATCCCTGTTTGCACCTATATGTCGTTTTTTCTATTTAATTAAAAAAATAAAAGTAAAAGAAGGCGCGTAACCGTCGGGTCCATCAAGGTTGGATCAAACCTGGTATGAATCTTGACCGGGCGCAAGCATTGCTTATCGTACGTGGAACTAGCTCGTTAACTTTTACGATGTCCGACCTAATGCTTTTAAGCGTAGTCTTCTTCCATTAAACAATTCACATTCCATTCAAAACTTCCTTCCTGAAAAGGTTTTGGACTGTTTGTGGAAGCAAATCATTAAAATGGCTTTTATGGCTTTCAGTTACTCTACTCACCAAACAACCCTTTAGGACAGGTTGATGTCAGATCAACGAGGGAAACACCCACCTGGCTTCCAACAACCGAAGACTACGACCAACAGATGAGGAATAAGGTGTCAACAGAGGATTAGGAACTCAGTCAGTAGCTGTGGTGTAAGGATCACAGGTCCCTCCATTTTAATACACACACACACACACACACACAGATATATATATATATATATATATCTCTGTGTGTGTGTTTTTATTTTCTCCACTAACAATAAAGAAAAAAAATTAAAAATATAAATTATGACATTACACACAATAACATCATTTATTTTTACTTGGATCTTACATCAAGTAAGAAGTAAAAAAAAGAATTAAGATTTAAGTGATAATACTGTACAAACTAATAAATTAATTTTTTGAAAAAGAATATAAAAATATTTTTTAAAATACCTATATATATATTATATGAACAAAAATTTCACCACTTCTCACTTCCTCCAAGTCTAAATTTGGGTGATGAAAGCTGTAATAAACTTGTTTAAAGGTGGTGGTCCGATGAATCCGGCTAATGCAGGCTGACCAAGTCCACGGTTCTTGAATTAAGAAGAAAAGCGAACCGGGAACGGGTCAGAGCTCTTGTCAGATTGGATTGGTGTTTACTGTTTTAGAATCCAAAATTCATCACATTAACTTGGAAACTTTTATTTTAGTTTTCCTTAAACTTATCGACGAAATTATCCATCATTTCCATCTCCCGTCTTTCTTGCCCCTTTTGACCGGAGGGGTTTGCATAAATATTATTTTCGATGACGTCACTGTTTTTTTGCCCCTTTAATCTTCAAAATCTGAAGTCGTCCAAGGTAGTCTGGTGCTAGCCTCCAAGGTAAGACCGAAACCCTACACAAAAAATGAAGGGATATCAAGGTAATTTTCGCCTCAAACTAGGAGCTCAATGTAATTCAATTACTTAAGTCTCTTTCATTTCCTTCTTGATTTTCTTTTCAGTTTTTGGTTCTGACCAAGTGGTAACTCAAATTTTTATTCTAAATAAGAAATGCATTATCAAAATTCACTTAAAAAGTTTGACATGTTGGGTTTGTAATTTTTCTATTGTTATTTTCAATGAAAATAAAAAATTAGGTTAAAAATACCTTTATTTGCATTTTTGTTTTTATCAAAAATATTTTTTGAAAAATGAACTGAAAATTAAAAATTATAAAAAATACATACTAAAAATCTGAAGTTATTTTCTGATAGTAAGAAAGAATAAAATCCAACTAAATATATTTTTTTGAAATTTAAAAAATTTGAAAATAAAAATTATTTTGTGAAATCAGCAGGCCGGCTTTTTCTCGCGTGATTCATCAACTCGTCTCTCGCATAAAAGGTGGCAAATATGGGACTTTTTCTTACCTTTTAAAGTTTTTTTTTAAGACATCAAATGAAAAATTTTAAGAAAATCAGAAAATAATATCTCGCTAGAGCGTGCTTCCCACGTGCCAAAAGGCTCGTATCGAAGATTATGCGGATAAAGAAGGAATTAAAAAAAAAAAAAAAAGGAAAAGAAAAGGAGCTCTCTTCCACAGTTCCCTGCTCCGTCAACAGCTACTCGCACGGTTACAGTTAATGCAAAAGACGATGGCGTCGGCCACACTCATTTTCCCAGAAAAAAAACAAAAGAAAAAGATAAATCAGAAAAGTAAGAAAAAAAGAAAAGAAAAACAAAAATGAAATAACAGATCAGCTGGGGAGTCGGAGACAGCCTCGCGCCGTATTTACGAGAGTTCGTCTCCCCTCGGCGCCTTCAACCAACCAAGGCCATTCTCTCTGACTTCCAAGTCTCGCACATGGGAAGACCACCATTGTAGATCTCTCATCGGGCCTCTAAATTCTCTCTCTCAGGTGCTTCCCTCACTTGCCTCGAAATATCCAATTAAGCTAATGTCTTACTATCTATATTCGATCCCCAAACTCGCTGCACGACCTCTGGCTCTGTACTAGAAGCTTCCAATTTGATTTCTTCTATCTGCACTAGATCTGCTTCTTTCTGAGCTCAGCATCGCCGGAATATGATGGACGGCGGTGACGGAACGGTTAAGTTAGGGGCCCTTAGCACGAAGCCCGATCGGTCTTCAATTTGGAGCCAGACGTTGCTGTTTCGTCACCAGTCACCAGACAGAAGGCCGCTGCGGCGAAGCAGTTCATTGAGAATCACTACAAGAACTACCTCCAAGGCTTGCAGGATCGTAAAGAAAGGTTAAAATCCACTCCAATTCGCTTTCTATCTTTAAGCGCAAAATGCGTATGCTTTGTTTGATGATTAGAGGCTTTCATGTTCTAGGCGTCGAGCGGTGCAGAGGAAGGGCGCAAGAAGCGAAGATGTCGAGCGAAGAAGAAGAGGAGATGCTGAGGAACTTGGAACGCAGAGAACAGAGTACATGAGATTGCAGAGGCACAAAGTGGGAATCGATGACTTCGAGCAATTGACTGTAATTGTAAAGGTGCATTTGGTGAGGTAAATAATGTTGCTTCTTTACAAACTCATTATAGCTACTGTGACATGCATTTTTATTCAATCGTCATGATTCATCATAAAGGCAATGCTCTTTTCTTTGAACTGCAAAGGAACAAAAAAGAGCACAAGTTATAGCTAGATTGAGATGAACAAATCTATGTTAAGGCCGATTTGCATTTTGTAAAAATTTCTCCTAGTAGTAGATTAATTTGATTAATGATGTTGTAATTGGATCTGCTGGGTGTGTTCTGTTGTTTGAGTCACGATGTAAAAATATTCGTACCGGAATTAAAATTAGTTGGCATATCAGTTGAATTACATAGCCTTGTACATATTGGGCTTCTGAATCAAAGCACTTGGCTTGTCTCATAAATGACTCAGGCATTCTATTGAAGCTTTCTTTTGTTTTTCTTCATTTATCTTTGTGATCTCACACTTATAATATCCTTTTTTTAATATTGTCTATTTTTTGATTTTTTTTTCATTCTTGTTCAAAATTGTTTAAACACAATTTATGCCATGTAATTGAATAAATGGTTTGAATTCCTGATCTGTGATCTAACTAATCACTACAGGTTAGACTATGTCGAGCCAAAAGTACAGGAGAGATTTATGCTATGAAGAAATTGAAGAAATCAGAGATGCTTAGCCGTGGACAGGTAACAACCTGCAAAACTAAAATGCAATTATATTTGGTGGTGCTCTCCCTTGCAGTACTATTGAAGCCTTTTATGTAGAAGATTTGTCTAGGTACATGCTCCATTGATATTTTAGATGTTGTGATTGTGACCAATGAAAGATACTGTTCAAAGAAATTCAGATGCATGTGCGGAAAGTTATGAAATGCTTAAGTGTTGTTCTTCTTCATCTTTTGCTACTTATATATAGAAGTTGTTACTCTTCACTTGGTGATACAGAAAAACCTTGCAGTATTAGTCTTGAACTTTGTTTATACACCCAACATTTAAACATGTTGCTCTTGTGTATAAGTTTTACTATATATTTTGAATAGAACTGTATCATTTTTGTGTATGGAAATTTATAACTGCTCTTCTACTTTAATTAGGTTGAGCATGTTCGTTCAGAAAGAAATTTGCTAGTTGAGGTTGATAGCCGATGCATCGTGAAACTCTCTTATTCTTTCCAAGACTCTGATTTTTTGTACCTTATCATGGAGTATTTACCTGGTGGTGATATATTGACCTTACTGATGAGAGAGACATCCTTTCTGAAGATGTTGCACGATTTTATATAGCAGAAAGCATTCTAGCTATTCATTCAATTCACCAGCACAGCTATGTGCACAGGTATTGTAATAAAATGATTGGAGTTTGGTGTTTTGTAGGATTTATGAGTTGTAATCCAAATAAATGCGTATATATGCATGTAGATACACGAGGATATAAGGCCATATATGTGAGTATATTTGCCACCTTGTTTTAATGACATTCTTAACTTCCTTGATTTAAAAGGCAATTATGTCCATATATTCTTAAAAGAAGGTTCCAAATTTGCATTTGTGTTTGAAGTTTATTAAAGGCTTGAGGCAGTGATTGGCCTGTTGAAGTTTACTATCAAATGTAATTATATGTTTCCATCAGTGTTTTGCCAATTCAAGAACTTAAATGAGAATCATGCGGCCAACTCCAGTGGTTGGAAAGATGCTTAGATGAATACTATCAGATCATTCCCCACACCCCCCCCTGCCCCCCGCGGGAAAAAAATGAAGTAAGTAAATAATAAACAAATATGAAAAAGAAGTAACACAAGTAGCATTCAGAATGGTGCTGATGTCCTCAACATTCTGATAATATGTCCTATTTACATTGTAAAAATCTTTCTGATTTTTCTAGTTTTTTGATCTGCATAGTTCATGTATGTTCTCTGTTCGTTTGGGCATTTCAGTTGGATAGTAATGAGGCTTTTTGATCTTTATATGACTGGAATACTACATAGTTTAGGACTGATTTACCTTTCATGTGTGTATCGGGATTGAAATTCTGTAATATTTGTTCGCATAGAATGTTCTGATGTCTAATTCCTCTGTTTACAGGGACATAAAGCCAGATAATCTGATATTGGATAAAAATGGCCATTTAAAGCTTTCAGATTTTGGGTTGTGCAAACCTCTTGATGATAAATATTCAACAATGTTGTTGGAAGATGGAGACCTCTTATCTCAGGATTCAACCCAAGATAATGAAGGGCATGCTGGCTCTGAAAGGCCTCCTTGGTTAATGCCAAAGGAGCAATTGCAACAGTGGAAAAGAAATCGTCGTGCACTTGTATTATATTTTAATCCTTTATATAGATCTCTTTTTATCAAAATAGTAATGTGAAATGACTGAAACTATGTAGTTTATGACATTCTTTGTTCTGCAGGCATATTCCACTGTTGGAACTCTTGATTATATGGCACCTGAAGTTTTGCTTAAGAAAGGCTATGGAATGGAATGTGACTGGTGGTCTCTGGGGCAATCATGTATGAGATGCTTGTGGCAATCCTCCCTTCTGTTCAGATGACCCAAGGATGACATGTCGCAAGGTAAGTTACTCCATTTTAATTCCTGGTCTCTAATTATTGCAGATATGATTTCCTTCTTAAATGTCTTAGGACATAAAAGGATGGTACTGCAGATTGCCTTAGAAATTTCCTGAAATAATCTGTTTCTGCAATTGTTAACTTGACTAATGAGACATAAGTTATTCATGTTCATTTTCAGAAGGGATAACGGTTTCAGAGGACTCTGCAACCTTGGCCTAACTTCCTCTATTTTATGCATATCCTTCCTTTTGCAGGATATATCATGTTCTTTTTTGTGTCAGATAATAAATTGGAAAACATGCTTGAAATTCCCGGAGGAGCCAAAAATATCAGATGAGGCTAAGGATCTAATTTGTCGCTTGTTATGTAATGTTGAAACAAGGTTGGGCACAAGAGGAGTGGAAGAAATAAAGGTAACAACCCTATGGAACAATCAACTTTAATTTCACTCCTTAATGTCTGATGAACTTGGAAATCCTGATATTTAAGCTGTTTGGACCCATTATGTTTCTAGGCACACCCATGTTTAAATGCATTAAGTGGGACACTGCTGTATGAAATGGAGGCTGCCTACAGACCCACAGTCACTGGGGACTTGGATACTCAAAATTTTGAGAAATTTCCTGAGGTGAGGATACAGATGGGTAAATGCATAAATGTGTGGTTTCTTTTTCTATCTTCTTTGGGTTACATTCTCTGTATTTACCATATAAGGCCCATTCTTCTTCCATTATCCAGCTTCCTATTCTTTCTCAGCCTTCCTCTTTCCTTGCTTCATCACTTTTACTCACTACCAATATGAGTACCATGATATAACCTCATATATTCCGAGGAGAACAACTTTGGCCATACTTTAACATAATGATTTAGCCCTATATTCTTCTGCATCAGCTTGTTACAGATATCATTTTGTCACATCATCTTTTCTTGCAACTACATCTCAACTTTGAAATTGAATTCCGAAATTCACCGCTTGTATGGGAAGTTTATTGTGGTTCCTGCCCCATATACAGAGTAATTTTATTATTGTAATTCTTTCTCTCTAGTTTTTGCTAGTTGAGTTCCTCACTACTGGTAACTTTTTCTCTTAATAGGTGAAGATCCACCTTCCACAATAACAAAAGTGGGTCCATGGAGAAAGGTAAGTTGTTTGTGGTCACTTTGAAATTATATGGTTCGATTGCACTGTGAGATTGAAATTTAGATGTGAGTACGAGAAAAGAAGTTATTGTGATAGAATTCAATTTGGCCATTGAAAGCTCAAATTTTAAATAATTTCGATTCGAGTTGATCATATATTTCTCTATGTGCATATTTACATTTCCATTGATATTTTAGTCTACTTCACAATCTCTTGTTATTTGAATAGTTTTTGCAAATTTTTTACAATGATGCTAATGCATAAACAGTAAACTTGAAACTTTCCTAGTCATCATATTGAGGATCCTATCTTTCATGCTATGTTGATGTTAATAAGAAAATTTTGGCATTTCCAATTGATGTTATTTGGTGATTAATATGTTATTTCTGTTTACTTCTGATGAGCAAAGCTCAGTTTTGCTCAACATTCCGTGACTACAGGTATCTTGCACCATGAGGGGAAATTCTGAATAAACAAAAAACAAAAATTGTTTCTATATGCAAAAGTGTGTTTCAGTTTCTAATATTATCCTTTTTCTCCTTCAGTAGGAAAGTAAAAACTGAAGTTATTCTTTATAAGATCTGAAGTAGAAGGAAATTTGTTTGCAGTCTGCATTGTGGACTGTAAAATGGATTTATAAACAAAAAGTATTGGCTCTAAAGAGGAAAATACACTGAAGAAAGTTTGATTATGGGGACAAGAAATGGTTCTTGTTTAACACAAAATTTGTCCGTGTAATGGACACGATAGCATTAAAAGATTACCTTAGCAGGCTCATCAGGCTTCCTCTGGAAGTTCATTATGTCCAAGGGCTTTAACATTGTCAGATAAATCACCTTCAGATATTTAAGTTTATCTATTTTGTACTTTCCATTATGCTCAACATTATTATTTTTTTTGCATAATTTTTTGTTTAAGATGTTATCCCATATTTCTAAATAGATTTTTGTGTAATGGATATTGCAGATGTTGACTTCAAAAGATGCTAACTTCATAGGGTATACTTTCAAGAAATCTGACATTTTGAAATCAGTTGGAAGTTCAGGTATGTTGCTTAAATAATGTTGAAGTATGCTAGTTCCATCTGCGCTCTCTTCATCTAATTCTTCTGGTGGAAACCTTGATTGGCATCAAACAGTGAATTCTCAGCCCAGAGTGAATAGTAACTAGTAATATAATATGGACAAAACTATGGAACTGAATTATGTATGTATGGAACTAAACTTGTCTTCAACCCATTCTCCACTCATTAAGGTATCAAACTCACTGAAGTTTTGCCACATATTTAAGAGTCATTAGCCATGACTGATGAGGAAACTTCTGAAGGATTCCTTGTAAAGCCCATTTAGGTTTTAGCTTTCAATATTTAATGGCTTTTGAACCTGAAAATTTCTTATAAGCACATGATGAGTGAAAGTCAAAAAACATTTACATCTAATGTAGATGTCAGTTCTTCCTGCACTAAGTTATATTTTGCAAATGAATAAATAAATAAATAAATTCACTCTTTCTTTCAATTCTAGTGATTTCTCCATTAAGAACAGTTTTTATATTGATGCACCACCACTATTTTGCTGCACAGGGACAGAT